ATAGGAAATGGGGCAGTGCTAGAAAGGGCTGAGTGTTGAGTGTTAGAAAGCCATGGCAGTGTGGCAGGCTGGGGTTGAGGCTCAGCGGTCGAGTACTTGCCTTGCAAGTGCCGGATTTGACTCCAGGCGCTGCAACACCACCAACAAAGGACCATGGCAGAGCTTGTTTCCAGGGTCTTTCGGGGCCATCTTTATCTAAAGACAGAAATAGTTACTGTGGGGCAGCACGGCCCTGCCTTGCTCCTCTCTTATCCACAATTGTCACTTTGCCAATGAGCCACTACATTTGAGATATCTATTATAGAGGTTGTTGGAGGGCACTGACAGGAAGCGGTATTGCACAGACGTTTGAACTTTTCACCATTTAGACTGAGAAAAGTTACAGCCACACCTCAGCCTACTCTCCACGGGTAATTATATTCCTTCTCCCCCTAGTTTTGGCCACACTCTCTGTGGAGAATTTGTTTTTTATTTCTGTGAGATTATAATCCATATATACATATAATTTAAAAATTTTTATTTGAAGCAGGGTGATTTACCATACTGTCGGGTGTCAGTGGTTGGGCTTTGTGCATACGAGTTTCCAACACCACAACCTCCAACAGTGTCTGCTTCCCTGCAGAGAACGTGGACTTTTTTCTTGCTTCTTCCCAGCCTGAGTTGCAGTCCTGGCTGCTATACCGTTCTCAGCTCTCCCACCCATTTTCTTCCTGCTTCCTCCAGACCTTCTAAATATGAGTCTGGAGCACAAAGTATGTGTTCACCAATTGTCATCCACCTAAAGGGAATGAGTTCTTCTTGGGAGAGTGGCTTTATTCTGAATCCCTCACCCCAGTTCTGATCTGCATACAGAGCAGAGGTCAGCACACTAGGTCCAAGAAGAAAATCCAGTGGATCTTGCTCTGTGTGTGTGTGTGTGTGTGTGTGTGTGTGTGTGTGTGTGTGTGTGTACAAACAAAGAGTTTTACATTTTTTGTTTGTTTGTTTTGGATTCACACCTGGCTATGCTCAGGTCTTACCTCTGGCTCTGTGCTCAGGGATCCCTTCTGGTGAGCTCAGAGAATTGAACTTGGGTCAGCCAGGTGCAAGGCTGGCATCTTACTCACTGTATTATCTCTCTAGCCCAGGAGGTTTGTATTTATAAGGGAGGGAGAAAAAAATCCAAACACAGAATTATATTTTGACTCTGAAAATGATATAAAGTTCAAGTTTCAATATCCATAAGTAGAAAGAAGATTAAGGACAAAACTCCTGGGAATGTTAGTATTTAAAGAGTAGCTGAAACAAAGCTGTCCACAGGAGACAGGAATAAGGGGAGAAATGAGCAAGCAAGCAGGAGCACAGCCATACTCTTTCTTCCACATACAGCCTCTGTCTGCTCTCATGCCCTGCTGAGTACTCAGCTAAGTGGCCCACAAAACCTGAAACACTTCCTGTCAGGTCTTTTACAGAGCAGAATTACTGAGACCTGGTTTAGCTACAGAATCCTGCGTGCCCCTTACATGTTTGGTGATATAAAACTCTTTCCATGGGGCCAGAAGATAGTACAGTGGGTAAAGTGTCTGCCTTGCACATGGCTGACCAGGGCTTGATCCCCAGCATTACATATAGTTAGTTCCCTGAGCACCTCTGGGAGTAAGCCCTGAGCAAAGCCAGGTGTAGCTCAAAAACAAACAGAAAACTAACTTCCTTTCCATTTTCCTAAGGTTTTTAGCTCTTTCCCCCTCCCCCAGCTCCCACCTCTCAAGAGGCATTAATGAGTTAATCCACAAACAGTGGGCATTGGGAAACTTCTGGGGTTTTTTTGGAGTAAAACCCAATGATTTCCCAATCTTATCCAAACTCTGGCATTCTGTCTGCTCACATCCCACCACCACACATATACGTATGTGTGTTAATGTTTCCAAATATGTGAAAGGTCATGGGGTTGGCTGTGGATGAAGCGTTTGTCATCTGTGTTTTTCGAAAGAGGCTGGATTTTGAAAGTCTCAGAACACTGATGGGCTGTAGTCACAGAGACTAATTTCTAAGGTTGCTTAATTGCCACTTTACATCGTTTTTCCGCTATCTCTTCCCCCACCCCTTCTGTCTTTCTTTTTCTTCTCTATCAAACTTGCAGCATATACAGTGACAGTTTCTTCCTCGCCTCCCACATACTTCTCATCCCACCACAATCTGGAGTTTGACTCCTACTACACCACTGAAACTTCTCAAATGTGTCAACCATCTCAGTCTCATTGAATCTAAGGACACTTTACAGTCCCTTCTGGAAATGGAGCTGCTCACAGTACATCTGTATTCTTCTTTCTTCTTTCTTAGCTCTCTGGATGGTCCTGCTACTGCAGGGTTCTGGTTAAACTAGTTGCCTGGTCCTGTGTCCTGGTAATTCTCTAGTGTTGGTGCCAGGCCTGCTCTCCTATTATACTGTGTTCTGAAATACTCAGCCTGGGAGCAAGCAAGGTGGGAACTATCCAGTCTCCTGGCCATTTGGCTTCCTATAGATTCTCCCAAATAGGAGGCACTAGCGAGAGAATCAGAGAGCAAAAGGAACTGAAAAGTGTTCTGCTTTTGCCTCAATACAGTGACAGTTGCTCATAGATGGAACAGCTGCTAGATTGAGTGATTCTGGAGTCCAGCTCTTAGATTGAGGAATTTGATGGACACAATACCTTTCAATCCAGAAGTAGCTGTGGGGGTCAGAGGGATAATACAGCAGGTAGGGCATTGGCCTTGCATATGGTTCACTGCCTGGCTCCCTATCCCCATCAGGAGTGATTCCTGAGCATAGAGCCAGAATTAAGCCCCTGAACACTGCCAGGTGTGGCCCCCAAACAAAACAGAACTGACTATGATATTAACCCCCTCCTTGGCTTCTAATTGGGTGTCAAGCACTTTCTATTCACTTTCTAGTTAACTCAGTATTTAGTCCCTCCCTACGCACACCTCTTTCATTTATGACCCAAACCAGGCTTTTGTCATTTCTCACCTAAATTATTGTCCTATATTACTACAGGAAAATCACGTGTGTATTAACGTTCAGAAGTTTTGATGTCATGTTACAAACTCTTGACTAGCGGTATTTGGCTTTTTTTTTTTTTTTGAGCCACACCTACTGGTGCTCAGGGACCACCCTGACAGGCTCAGAGGACCATATATGATGCCAAGAATTGGACTTGGTTGGTCGTGTACAAGACAAGTGCCCTACCTGTTGTACTGTCTCTCCAGCCCCCTTGACCAACAGTTTTGCTTCCATTCTTTCTGAACTCCAGTCCAGTATTTGAAATATCAGAACTTTTTTTTTGGGAAGATTCAAATGATTGTGTTGCTCCTGAGTTTTAATGTCTATTATTTATATAAAAGCCAAACTCTCCTGGTATCACAGATTTATACCAGGAGAGTCTGGTATAAATTTATACTGTGTGATTTGCATCTTGCCTAAATTTCTGGTTCATCCTGTCACTTTCCTCTGAGTGTCCCCTTATTTCCAAAATGAGACATGGGAATATCCTTTACAGTGCTGAGGGGGTCTCCAAAACAAAAAGGGGTTCTGCATGCCTTTGACCTTCATACACTAGTTACCCCTTACTCTGAAAACTTTTTCTCTTCCCTTATGTTACGCTGATCAAATTGATTTTCCTTCCACCCATTGAAGCCTATTTTTTCAGTCCTATCTGAGACTCTTCCAGCTTCAAAACATTACTACTCCCCACAAACACTTGGCACGTTCTTACTTGTGCACATTATATTGCTTGTAGTTACTTATTCATGACCTCCCTTGTCAAGGTAGACTTTAAGTAGTTTGGAGGTCAGAATAGGTCTCATTTAGCTTTGTGTTGCTACCAACACCTAGCACAGAAAACTTAGTATCTTTCTTCAGAACAAAATAGAGTTAATGACTGGAAGAGTCTTCCTTCCCCAGGAGAGGGAGCGTCTGGAGAGCCTGTGGGAGGAGGCTGTGGGAAGATGAGCGTCCCCACTGCTGTCTGCCGGGCCAGAATTGTTGAGCCAGGGAAGGTTGGAGTAGGTTGAGACTGACAGATCTAATTGTTTTTGAAAAATTTATTTCCAGATTTCTTTCCATTTTATTTTCTTTTTGGCTTTTTGGGTCACACCTGGCGATGCACAGGGGTTACTCCTGGTTTAGCAGTCAGGAATTACTCCTGGCGGTAGCTCAGGGGACCATATGGGATGCTGGGAATCGAACACGGGTAGGCTGCGTGCAAGGCAAACACCCTACCCACTGTGCTATCACTCCAGTCCCACATTTTTTTTTAAAGCACTGTGATTTACAAAGTTATTTATAATTGAGATTATTCATTCATTTATTTATTGATTGGCTTTTTTGGGGAGTCACACCTGGCGATGCACAGGGGTTACTCCTGGCTCAGCACTTAGGAATTACTCCTGGCCATACTCAGGGGACCCTATGGGATGCTGGGAATGAAACCTGGGTTGTCCGCATGCAAGGCAAACGCCCTACCTGCTGTACTATCGCTCCAGTCCCCATAGTTGAGTTTTAGACACACAATATTGTAGTACTGATCCCACCCCCAGTGTCAACTTCCTCCACCAGTGTTCCCAGGTTCCCTCCCATATTCCTGTCCTCCCCTCCCCCCCAGTCTACCCTCTTGACAGGCAGCTTTCTAAGTTTGATTGTTAAAATTTGGGTCTCCTGATTTCCGTGTGGTTGGCTTTGTGGTTTGGATAGTTGGCTCTATCATTCCTTAACACCACCTTTGAACCTGGCTTCTCTGACAGGTCTAATTCTTAACAGTAGATCCTCACCAGGAGGCAGGTATTCCTTTCCTGGCCGCTGAGACTGGCTTGCTCAAGAGTGCTCTCTTCCTGGGGCCCTTGACACAGGTCTCTTCTCGGCTACTGGTGATGTTAAACCCGACTCTTCTGTCATTGGTTGAGGCTGAAAGGGCAAGGGCAACTATTGGAAGTGAGCTTGGTGTACTATGCTGTGGGTGTGGGAGTTAGTTGAGGTTCTGGGTTAGGCAGTGTGGCAGCTCCCAGCCCACTGTCTGCCGTGAGAAATGGTTTTTGTACAGGCTGTGCTGCTGTTGTGCCTATGGCTTTTGCCTCCTGCCTCTCCTGCTCTCTCGAAGTGGACGGGCCTTGAAGGTACCTTTTTCCTTTCCTCCCAACGGGGATAGAGACTTGGGCACTTTGAAGAAGCGCCTTGTGCTCTGTAAAGGCGAAAGTACTGTGGGAGTGTGAGCAGTAGAACTGGGAAGGAGTTAGTATAAATGGGAGATAAGCAATGTTTTCTTTCTAAGAGTGTTTTGTCTATACCGTTTAAGACAGTTTCTTGCCTCAAAGATTAGTATATTTCTTTTTTAGATGAAGAACTCAGATTCAGAGTTTAGGGCTGAAGACATAGTTATTTGTTTGCCACGCATGCAGCTGATCTGGGTTCGATCACTAGCTCTACATAGGCTCCTCTGAGCCTTCTGCCAGGAGTGATCCCTGAGCCAGGAGTAAGCTCTGAGCACAGACAGATGTGACTACCCCCTCAAAAAAAACTCAGTTTGAGGAATCTGTGCAGTTCACACCACTGAAAAGTGGTAGAGCAGATTTGAACAAAGCAAACTTAATTTCACTGTTCTTGCTAGGAGATTGCTACGCACTCTGAACACGCCTTGTGGTTCTTAAAAAATCTTGTTTCTTAATTTCCTTTTCTAAAGGATAGGGGAAGAATAAAATAATAATTGGAAAATTTCTCCTACTCCAATTGTCTATTCTGAGTATTGAGTATTAAATATTGAATATATTGTTTCCTTTGGGGAATTTCAAAGACCAGGAATTTTTTCCTGCAGCAATGAAATTATTTGCCCTAATCCTATCATTGCAAGGTCTAGAGGGATGAAAAAAGGGAAGTCATTTTTAGAGAAGCCTGGGGCCGGGGAAGTGACTAAAGAGAATTAGAAAGATTACTACAGGGTTGAAGGCCCTTGTCTTGCTTGCTGTTGACCCAGGTTTAATATCCAGCACCACATGTGGTCTCCCAAGCTCTGCCAGGTGTGATTTCTGAGCACAGAACCAGGAGTAAGTCCTGAGCACCATAGGATGTGGCACCAAAATAAAAATAAAGAGGGGTCAAGGAGTAAGGAGTAATATAGTAGGTAGGGTACTTGCCTTGCACGCAGCTGACCTGGGCTCAATTTCCAGCATCTCATATCATCTTTTGTGCCCTGCCAGGAGTGATCTGTGAGCACAGAGACAGGAGTAAACCCCAAGCACCACTGGGTGTGGCCCAAAAGCAAAAAATAAAATCAAGTGAAAAATAAAGAGAAGCTAGATACTGGTTTTCAGCTGCCAGATTGAGTAGGCTGGGACAATGTCTTATGACCATTCCTTCACTCTCCCTTATAAGACTGGGAAATCCCCAGCCTTGGAAAGTCAGCATGGTTGTTTGCTGTGAATTAGCAAAGATATGATGCTGGCTTGATGAGTGCTGTCACCTCCTTGGCTGGATTCCTTTGTGTGGCACACACACACACACACACACACACACACACCCCACACATACACTACACACACACACATATACACACATACCACCACTACCATTGTTTGGGCCAGAGAGATAATACAGTAATATGCTTGCCTTACATGTGGCCAACCATTGTTTGATCCCCAGCACCATGTATGGTCCTCTGAAGCACTGCCAGAAGTGATCCCTGAGCACAAAACCAGCAGTGAGACCTGAACATCACCAAGTATGGTCCCCAAACAAACAAAAATCAAAAACCACCTACCACCATTGTTACCGTGAATCTGTCATTCGTAGTCCTCTTTTACTTTCTATAACACTAAAAATTTCATTTTGAGGGTCAGGGAGAATTGGGCCACACCTACCAATGTTTGGGGACTACTCCTGGCTCTGTGCTTAGAAATCACAAGCACTTAACTCCTGTACTATCTTTCTGACCCCCAGAAAGCTGACTTTTAAAAAAAAATGGGTATGGGAAGTTTGGAGAGATTCTGTTATAATTTATTCTTTGCCCTCATGGGAGGAATGCCTAAATAGCAACACACAATTGACTGTTCTGAAACAGGTCTTGCTGATTTCCAGGCTAAAAAGGATGTGGTTTCTACCTGCTTCTACTGTTTCCTTTGCAGCTTCAGCTGCAGTGTGGAAGGACAAGCTGCAGAACCATGCTTTCCAGCATACGGTATACTGTCAGAGTTGGAATCCCAAGAAGGGATTCTCAGAGACCTTCAACGGGGAACAGCTTTTCTCCTTCGACTTTGACCAGAACACACGAGTGCCTCGCCTGCCGGAATTTGCTGACTGGGCCCAGAAGTCTGAAGATACTTCCAAAATTTTATTGGAAAAAACCTTGTGTATGGCTATGGTAGATGAAGTAGGCCCACAATTAGAAGGACAAATCCCACTGTCCAGAGGTCAGAGTTTTTTTACTAGGGGTGGAGGGAGGAAGATGCATTATGGTGGTTTATTTATTTATTTATTTATTTATTTATTTATTTATTTATTTATCTGGGGATGATGGGTGGTGGTTGGTACACCCAGCTGTGCTCAGGGATCATTTCTGGCACAACTATGGGATGCTGGGGATCAAACCCAGGTTAGCTGCATGCAAGTCAAGAGCCTTACTCCCTGTATAGTCTCAGAGGCCATATTCTTTGTGGGTTGTTGCTTTATTTATTTATTTATTTATTTTGGGGTGGAGGGGGCACACCCTGCAATATTCAGGGGTTACTCCTGGTTCTTCACTCAGAAATCACTCCTGGTGGTGCCTGGGGAAACTATATGGGATGCTGAGGATTGAACCTGGGTGGACCCCGTGCAAGACAAATGCCATCCCCCCATACTCTCACTCAGCCCCTGAGTGAGAACTTTGTTAAAGTATACACATTATCACTCCTCTTCACACCAGCTGCCTCTTTGTTTGTTTGTTTGTTTTGTTTGCTTTGTATTTTGGGCCACACCCAGCAGAGCTCAGGGCTTACTCCTGGCTCTGTGCTCAGGAATTACTCCTGAAAGTGCTCAGGAGACCTTATGAGATGTCAGAGATCAAACTTGGGTCAGCCATGTGCAAGACCTTACTTTTTGTGCTATGGCTCCAGACCCTTCCCATCACTTAAACGGTCTATTCTCTAGTGTTTCCCGTGGGGCAGAAAACAAGTGCTGTGGCTCTAGCAGACATTCAAAACCATTTCTTAAACTTGATGAATTCAACAGGGACCAGTGGCAACTTAAATGAATCTCAGTGGTTTTGCCACCAGGCTTAGCAAAATGGAAGGGGAGAATGGAAGTGTTTGATGACATGCCTGAGTTTTCATAAGAAGGTGGCTTGTGATTGGATGCCAGTGTGAGATCTCACCAGGAAGGGTCACAAGTAGTCAGGCCAGAGAGGTCAAGAGTGTCCTAGGTTTTGGGGCTGGAGCGATAGTACAGCAGGTAAGACATTTGCCTTGCACGTGGCCGACCCAGATTCGATTCCCAGCACCCCGTATGGTCCCCTGAGCACTGCCAGGAGTAATTCCTAAGTGCAGAACCAGGAGTAATCCCTGTGCATCACCAGGTGTGACCCAAAAAGCAAATAAATAAAGAAAGAAAGAAAAGAAAAAAAGAGAGTGTCCTGAGTTAGATTACCTCTAAGTCAAGCTCTAGCTCTTATCTGGAAGATTTCCCTCCAACACTCCAACACTGCGCCTTCTCCATCTTCTGCCTTTGTCTCTGTCTCTACCACCTAAACTTCTTTCCCTCACCTCTCATTATTCCCACAGGGCTCCCTATTGTTGACGTGTTCACGCTGAAGCCCCTGGAGTTTGGCAAGCCCAACACACTGATCTGTCATATCAGCAATCTGTACCCGCCCGCTTTGACAGTGAAGTGGAGGCATCATTCGGTCTCTGTGGAAGGAGCTGGGCCTACCCTTGTGTCAGCCGTTGATGGACTTAGCTTCCAGGCCTTTTCATACTTAAACATCACGCCAGCACCCTCTGACGTTTACCTCTGCATCGTGAGTCATGATATTGACAACTACACAGCAAAGGCCTTCTGGGGTAAGGTTCTTCTCTCTAGAGACCCCACTCTTTTTGAGTGTAAAAAGAACCCACAGGAGAGCCTATTTGGTCTATTTGGAACTTCTCTAAATTGGGTCTTTCCTCATTCAGAACTAACCCCAGCCTTTATGTGTCAGTTTGACCCTGATCACCCCAGATACCCTCATCATTCCTCTGGGCTGGGACCTCTTCAACCAGCTCTCCATGTTGACCTTTTCTCTCCAGTGCCCCGGAACGCATTGCCTTCAGATGTTCTGGAGAATGCGTTGTGTGGTGTAGCCTTCGGCCTGGGTGTGCTGGGCATCATTGTTGGATTAATCCTCATTGTCTACGTTCGCAAGCCTTGCTCAGGTGAGCCATCAGGGATTTGGAGGGGTGGTGAAGAGGAGCCAGATATATTGGTGCAGGGCTGGAGCTATAGCACAGCAGGTAGGGCTTTTGCCTTGCACGAGGCCGACCTGGGTTTGATTCCCAGCATCCCATATGGTCCCCTGAGCACCACCAGGATTAATTCCTGAGTTCAGAGCCAGGAGTAACCCCTGAGCATCATCAGTTGTGACCCCAAAATCAGATATATTGGTGCATGTGGACACCCCAGAAGTCTACCTGTAGTACAGAGGGGACAGATAAGACTCTTGGGGGAGTCTGTATCTGGTGCCAGGGAACAGTCTCTGAGTTGGGGTTTCAGTGATACACATAAGGAATGATCACTGACTCTCTGTGGGAGAGCAATGATATGGGGGGGCTCTTGTTAGGCCTCTGGGAGGTGATTTGGATTCAAGGAAAGCTCAGTCTCAGAAGGTGTACGTTGCAGGAAAGTAGGGGTATTTGTGAAGTGGGGGAGGAGGGATGTGATACTCAAGGGCTAAATTACAGCTTTGATCTCCATGTTCTCTTTGAATTAAGAAATGCGTTATCTTGATGGAGTGTTGTAAAAAATATTAATAAATAAATAAATAAATCACCAAATAAATAAATAAATCCTGTAGGGATGAGTTTAGGTAACTAAGAAGAAGCCAGTCAACAGATAACTATAGAGTCCAGTCCTCTGGGTGACCATTCTAGGGACTGGGTAGAGATGAATAAATTATAAGTTTTGATGAAAACAGAACAAAAGAGCTAGGCAGACCTGTTCGTCTGGGCAGGAGGGGAAGATGGGGGACACAGAAACAAGTGATAGATGACAATATGAAACATAAACAGAATGTATGAATCATAAGATTCCTAATAGCAAGTGTCTCATGCTGTATCCTCCTGCCTTACCGTATTGCTGCGAAGCAACCAATCAAGAAACTTCGTTCTTTGGCTCTCCTCTTTGTCCACAGGCTTGTTCTCTTTCCAGGAATTCACAGATAGATAAGATGCTCTGTACCCCTGCTCTCTACTGTAGTTTCAGGTGATCGCCTAATTGTGGTCCATCCATGTTTAATGAATTAAATCTCCTTGCTTTTTCACCTTAAAGACACCATGCGCTTGATTAAGTGAATTCTGTTACAGCAGGGACCCTTTCTCCTGATGACTTTCTTCCACCCTCTCTCTCTCTTCAGGCTGATTTATCCTGACCCCAGTCTGGTGCCATCCAAGCAGACACAGCACAAATTTCCCAGGATCATCTCTCTTCAGAGCAGACAGCCCCAGCACTCTGGGTGTGTGCATGTGTGAGTGTGTGTGTGTACATAAGCCAAAGATTCCGTTTCCCTAGGTTTGTCTCCACGGGAACACCAAAGTGCCCCCCACTATGACATATCCCTTTCCATGTCCAGTCAATAAATCTTGTTCCCTAATGTCAGTGTGGCTTCTTCTTTCTCAGTTCAGAATACTTGTTTCTGGCTTGCTCAACTGGAGTGGGTTGTCGTTCCAAAGTCAACCTGGACACAGCTTGTCCTCAGGAGGGAGGGAAATAGGAAAATCCCGAACTCCTGAGCTGGTCTCAGCATGGTGTAATGGCTTTTTAACATTTTGAGTTTTCTTTCTTGGGGGGTATGGGGGAGGGTCACACCTAGTGTTGCTCAGGACTTACTCCTGTCTCTGCACCGGGGATTATTCCTGGCAGGGCTCAGGGGACCATATTGGGATGCCAGGGATCCTACCCAAGTCAGCTGTGTGTAAGGCAAACACACCCTACCTGCTGTACTGTCACTCCAGCCACCATGTGATGGCTTCTGCTCTATTTAATTCATGCAAGATATATGAGACATGAAGGCAGAACTACTTCCTGAGAATCTGCTCACTGATCGCTGGAGGAAGCTTCTCGTTCTTGTTTGTCCTCTACTGTTGGTGAAAATGATGGTGCCTACTGTAGGCTGCCTTGAGAAAGAGCTAACTTCCACCTCCCTATTGCCAGGAAAACAGGAGCTCAAAGTAGGAAAAATAAGCCGTCAGATGTTATTCTAACTCCTATCAGCCCTATCAGTTCTGAGAGAAATATATACTCAAGTTCCTGCGGTAAGTGGGAGCAGCCTGGAAGGGCCCAGAGACCACACGTCCTTCTGAACAATTGGTGCTTTGGCCCAAGTGGGTCATCCAAGGAAAACTGACTGTGTTGTCCTAGGTGGACAGTGGGGGCAGGACACATGACTGCTGGGGGTCAGTTCCTTGAAATGTGCTTTTTTTTTTTCATGTTTTCCATGGGGTCTGTGAGTTGCTTTGGACAATAGGGTGACAATGTTGAGAGTGAAATTACTGGGGGTGATGGGAAGAAACTGGGGTCACTGGTGGTGGAAATGGACACTGGTGGAGGGATGGGTGCTGGAACATTGTATGGCTGAAAACTGATCATGAACAGCTTTGTAACTATGTATCTCACCGTGACTCAGTTAAAAAAAAAAGTTAAAACAACAACAACAACAACAAAACTATAGCCAAGAAATAAAAAAAAGAGTGAAATTATTATTATTTTTTTTCTTTTTGGGTTACACCCGGTGATGCACAGGAGTTACTCCTGGCTCTGCAACTCAGGAATTACTCCTGGCGGTGCTCAGGGGACCATATGGGATGCTGGGAATCGAACCTGGGTTGGCGCGTGCAAAGCAAATGCCCTACCCACTGTACTATCTCTCCAGCCCCAAAGAGTGAAATTATTTTGGACTTGTAGGTAATAAAGATTCTGTTCTCTGTGTTTTACCAGAATTTAATTGGAATTTAAAGGAAAGAGAAAGGAAAAGAAACTCCCAGGCTGGGGAGGAACCTGGTATAAGACAAGTTCCCATTTCATTTTTAAGAGCCACAAGCACATTGCTGAGCACTGCGTACTCAGGGACCCACTCCCAGGAATCAGTTGTGACTCTCAAATTTTAGTTGTGTGCCCTTGGGCTGGTAACTTAACCTCTCTGTGCTTTGGTATCATTTTCTGTGAAAGAATGATCACAATGGCATGCTCTCTGGTAAGTTATTGTGATATTTGATTAAGTTGATCTGTTTAAAACTTAGAACAGTGTCTGGCATGAAGAAAAGGTGCTAAAACTGCAAGGATTTTTTTCTTTTTTGGTTTTTGGGTCACACCTAGCGATGCACAGGGGTTACTCCTGGCTCATGCACTCAGGAATTACTCCTGGTGGTGCTCGGGGGACCATATGGATGCTGGGAATCGAACCTGGGTTGGCCACATGCAAGGGAAATGCCCTACCCACTGTGCTATCGCTTCAGCCCCTGCAAGGATATTTTTACAGGGAAACTTAAATCAGTATCATTACCTTCTTTACTGGAATCTTCTTTAAATCTACCTGCAAGTAATATATTTTCTCCTTCGGAGAGTTTCTTCTTTAAATTTTCACTTTAGCATTCCTTATTGCTCTCATTTTGCTATTTTTGTTCTTCCTGACTTTTTATTTTCCAGTTGGTGCAGAAATTCCCTGCCAGCAAGTCTTACAGCTGCTTTTATTTTGCTGTGTGACCTTAGACAAGTCACATCTCTCTGGGTCTGAAATTTCTCATCTATAAAATGCTGGGCTTTGGTTAGATGCTCTCTGGCCACACATTCTGAATGGTGCTGTCACTTACGATATTTGAGATGCATTCAAGACTCTTTATAATCTAGTGTCCCCCTTCTAATAAAAAAAAATCAGAGATACTCTTTCCAGAAAGAATCCTAAATATTTCTCACACTCTTCCTTAACAGTAACATGATCCGTCTTCACTAGGGCATTGGCACAAGCTTATTTCTTTGACAGAATACTCCCTTTATTCTTCTCAGTTGAATAAATCTTAACCAATGCTATGGACCCAGCACAAGTGGGATTTCTTCCATGAATCTGTCCCTAATCCTTTAGCCCTGGTTGATATACTGAACTCTTCTTAGCTTTTGTGCACTTAACCCAGGCTTAACTCTCAAGAATGTGTTGCCTAATTTCATGTTTATTATCATTATTTTTTTCACTCAATGACTTTCAAATGTTGGCAATAAAAAAAAATGTTGACAATATGGTACCTTGTTTTAATTTGCCTTTCATTGCTGGGAGCTTTTCATTGGTTTTGCTCTCTGTGAATGCTGATTCATATCTTTTGTCTATTTTTAAAATTAATTTTCTTGTCCTTTTCTTGTGAATTTGTGGGGATTTCTTACATTCTCTATAATCTTATGTTGGTAGAGGATTTGCACATGTCTTTTTCCAGTTTGCTACTCATCGATTAAGTTGTATACAATTTCTTCCCTGAATAAATAAACAAATAATTTAATTTTGACACAGCCCTCTGGTTTATGCTTTTATAATCTTTTTTTAAAAAACAAATCTTTTCTAACATGAAGGCAGTACAGTTATAATTTTTGCTGAAATATAAAGAGATAAGGTGATGATTTGGACCAATTTCAATATTTAAGGTTTCTGGCATGGAGAGGGGGTTTGATTTGGGCCACATCTAGTGGTACTCAGGACTTACTCATGGCTCTGCACTCAGGGACCACTGGTAGCAGACTTGAGGTACCATATTGAGTGCCAGGAAGTGAACCTGGATTAGCTATGTGCAAGGCAAGCTCCCTACCTGCTGTACTATCATTCCAGTTCCTATCATGGCCTTTTAATATGTTTCAATATTTCATAGGGCTATTTTTCATTCCTCTACCTCCTCATTTTTAACCCCCAAAAGGTGAGGGTGCTTTAAGTGCTTCATTATCCAAATTATTAAGAACTTCATGGACATTATTTTCATGTAGATTTGCAATTAGTTTGTCAAATTATCCCAAAATACTTCTCTGATTTTTGGCTAGAGCAGCATTTAGGTTAGAGAGGGAGAAATGAACTTTTAAATTTTGATAGGATGCTCCAGCCTTGAATACGGTATGTTTCTCCTTTTCTTGAGGTCTTCAGTTATGTGCTCTTTTATTATTATTATTTTGGTTTTAGTGTCTCACCCATCTGTATTCAGGGCTTACTCACGGCTCTGTGCTCAGGGGACCATATGCAGTGCTGGAGATTAAATCTGAGTCAGCCACATGCAATGCAAATGCCTTAACCCTTTGTGTTGTCTCTCTGACCCTTCATATATGTGCTTTAATAAAGTTTTCTCTTTTTTTGTTGTTTTTATACTTCTAGAAATTCATCAATATGCTGCGGGTTTTATTGAGATTATAAGTGGTCAGCAGTTTTCCTATTTTTAGTAACTCAAAACTTAGAATCCCCAATCTTAAATTTAAATCTATGACTCAGTAACTGGGTGAATATGGACAATCATGCACTCTTCCTCTGCCCTTCCATTTTCTCATACTTAAGACAGTGATGGCAATATTCTTCAAGAGTAGTAGGCACAAATCACATTGAATATCCCTCAGTAGTTCGAATACTTGACTGCAGGGAGAAGGATGATTTTACGAGTTACAGCGCCTGTAACCCAAGAGTTAGGCATTAGGGCAGTAAATCTTGACAGTGATGAGGAAGTTTGAGAAGAAAGGGGAGGTGGGAGTGGGTGAAGGCATGACTGGACAGACTGGGAAGTCACATAATCCTGGTAGGAGGCAGATGTGTGTAATTTTGAAAAAGACACTGAAAGAAGTCATAAATGCAGTCTTATGCGGTTGGCTTTAGATTAGAAATGATTGATGACTTGAGCAGTTTTTGTGTTTATGAAATGTAGGCTGGAGTTTAAAACCATCTGTCCAGAAGAGGAACATGAGAGCTTAGAGGGAACAATCTTAGGAAGTACCTAGGGAAGATTTATTATGGCCATACTCTCAGGGAAGGCAAGAGACCGCATTTGGAACTTCCTGCAATGTGTAATGCCAGCACTGCTATTCTAGCTCACGATTGTTTTAGCTAGTCCAGCCTTCCGGCAAACCCCAGACAGCACCTCATACATACTCCTGCCAAGCTTGTGGATCTGTTTGCCAAGACTCAGCTGCCAATTGCCTTCCTCTTCTCTGACGCGGATTCAGCGCAGTAGTCAAGACTCATTCGAATCTGCTCCTTGAAGAGTGCTCCCCGTCCATCTCATCCATGACTTCTCTCTTAAGGCTTATTGCTTCTTGACTTTAAGGTAAACCTTTCTCTTTAGAAATATTTGTTCTCACTCTGCTGTAGCGACTCGTGGGCCAGAGCCTGTATGTCTTAGCTGCAGAGTCCCTGTAATGCTTTATGCATAGTATAGGGCAAAGAGGCAGGGGTGGGGGGGAAGGGCCTCACTTTCTGGGTCCTTGGCAAGTGGCAACAAAAGGAGGTGGGCAGCTTAGGAAGGTGGCTATAGTGCTTGAATTTTTTCAGCCCCGGTGCTGTCCTTATCAAACTATCAACAGGGGGCAGGCAGTTGAAATAGTCTTGGTTTGACAGAAGACAGGAGAGAAAGCTTCATTTAACAAAAGTTGAGTTAGGAGGAAGAGGGAAAGGAAACAAACGCTTGGCTGAGCACAGGTCTTGAGATTTTTCTGTCTTTGCTTTAGTCTAAAAAAACACCCGGCGTCTTCTCATTAATAGAGAAGTGAAATCTACATTTCCGGTCCTGGTCACGCAGAAGTTTCACATCTCCTTTGGCTGCGGGAACAGAGACACTCAGAAACACTAGAGGGGACTCCCAGGGAGCGCCTGCAGCCTCCGCGTGCCTGAGGGCAGCACCTGCGCCCGCACTGGCCCCTTGCCACGCCTTCGCCCCAGAGGTGGGGCCACACCAGGCTTTGCAGCGGGTGAAAAGGCTCAGACCGGTCCTTGCAAGGTTACAGTCACCAACTCCTAGGATTCGCTGTAAAGCGGAAGTGTGAGTGTGTGCATGTGTGTGTGTTGCGTAGGAGTATTCATTTGAAACTGCACAAAGCGAAAGTGGAAGAGACTGAGCAGAAGGAACGCTGAGAACGAGGAGGATATGATGGGACCCTTGTGGGGCTCTTCCCTTTCTCCTCCTCTTGGCGAGGACAATCAGTTGTTCCTTTTTTTCCTTTTTTTTGGGGGGGGGTGGATGTCTTTGCCCCAGATACAGGGAGTGTGGGGCTCTGTGGAGCAGTGTGTGAGTGTGTGCATGCCTGTACACAGATGAATGCTATCAAAAAGCGTTAAAAAGTGTCTGGACTTTTTAAACTTTTAATGGGTCAATTCCTGGTTCAATTCCCAGAATCCCATATGACCCTGGAGCACCGCCAGGAGAAATTCCTGAGTGTTTCTGAGCGCAGAGCCAGGAGTAAACCCTGAGCATCCCCTGAGGGGTTTCTTACCCCTGAGCATCACAGGGTATGACCCAAAGAGAAAAAAGGACAAGTGTCTGGAGGCTGGAACAATAGCACAGCGGGTAGGGTGTTTGCCTTGCTCGCAGCTGACCTGGCTTCAACCCCTAGCATCTCATATGGTCTCCTGAGCACTGCCAGGAGTAATTCCTGAGTGCAGAGCTGGGAGTAATCCCTGTGCATCGCCAGGTGTGACCCCAAAACCAAAATAATAATAATAAAAAAAAGAAGTGTTTGGACCTTGGTGTGAATCTTTGGACCTGGTTTTGAAATTGTCAGATGAAGGGCGAATGAGCCAGCCTATAAATGCTTCCTCAGCACTGGAAACCACCACAGAGCAGGAGAGGGACACCTCCAACAGAGGAGAGCAGACAACAGTCTCCCTAAAAGGCTGAGAGTGGGGGTGGCTGGGAAGCCCAGCCAGATATTCATCCAACCTCAGGCAGACACAATAGGCCTTTTTTCATCAGATTCTTCTTTTATTCACTTTGGTTCATATGACTTTTTCTGTTTTCTCTTTTCTTATAAGTACCAAGTTCTCTTGGGGTCGGAGACATTGGGGGAGGGTGCCCTCTTGTTCCCCCCCCCCCATTTCTTTCACTATTAAACCAAATCCAAAGTTTTCAGAAGCCTATGTGAGGAAAAGCAGCCCTGTAGCCTGGTGGGAAGCAGAGAAAAGCCAATTTAGAGTCTTTATTTGTCTTTATTTGATGGTAAAAAAAATAAAAATTAAAATTAAAAAAAATATATCCATAGGACTGGAGAGATAGATAGTACAGCAGGTCGGGCGCTTGCTTGTACATGGCCAATCTGGGTTTGATCCCCAGAACCTTGCATGGCCCCTGACCCCTGCCAGGAGTGATCCCTGAGCACAGATACAGGAGTAAGCCTGGAGCACCGCCAGTTGTGCTCCTCGCTCCCCATGCCAAAGCCATCAATTACAATGTTCACAATGAGGTAGACTAAATTGCCACTTAAAATCTTCAGTTTCCCCAGGGAAAGGTAGGAAAACTTCATTTCACTTTTCTAGAGGCCTCATAATGTGAGAACCTTTCAACCTGCCTCAGATTAGAACCCAATGTGGGAAACGCCCAGGGAGTTTTGGGTTTGTGGGGGACAAGTGTGCTCTGGGCATTAGCCCGGAACCAGCTATTTGTGAGGGAGCATGACTGCAGCCCTGCGGGGCTATGCTTCAGAGCACAGGGCAGGGCATCCTGGGTCCAGAGCGCACAAAGAGGAAATTAAGCTCCACGGGTTAAAACCGGGGAAGGAAGGGAGACCCGGGAGGGGTTAGGTCCATGGCCTTGACTTCTAGGGTGGAAAGGCTTGCCCTCGTCTGCAGCTGTACCTTTCCTGCGCTGATTTCCACCCCAGCGGCGCTGACCCTGCGGTCTACACCAGAACCTAAGTGCTCCAGCCTCGTCTTTTAGGTGACTGGTCAGACCCGGGGTTACGCAAGAGCTTCCTAACCAAACTCCTTCTCCGGAGCAAGAAGGGGGCGTCCTCCCGGTGCGAAGGACCGCAAGAGGAAACAGTTAAACCAGCGTGCCGTGCAGGCTGCCTCTGTCCTCGGAATATTGGGAGATTCTCTCCCCTGGACTAGGGAATTCCACCCCAAACTAACCATTCCACAGGAAAAAGAAAAGCTCCCGAGACTCGCTCTCTAGCCACTCTTTCAAGAGCCTCTTGGAGAATGAGTTTTACCTAGCAACCGATGACGCAAGGGCCGAGGCGCGCGGTGATTTGTCTCTACGTTTGACTCCGCCCTATTAGACAACTCTTGAGTTTGAGTCCTACTTAGCAGAGCATGAAGGAACAGGGTTAGTTATCTAGAGGCCGGGTTAGCTCTAAATCACTCATTTAGTGGGGACCAAAAGGTTCGGGCGATAACGTATTCCACTCAGTGTCTGGAGATCACCTACCCAGGCTGGGGCTCCCACGAAGACGAGGACCGAAGGTCCCTGGAAGAACTGCCGCAGGGGACTTAATTGTCCTTGTCGTGTTGGAGTGAAGCATGATCCGGTTCCTGCCTTTGCTGCTGGGCCTCAGCCTGTGTTGCACCCAAGCAGGTAAGGACAGACCTCCTGGGACCGGCCTTCCTCAGCTCCAACTTCCCGGGAAGGCATGTTTATAGGATTTGGCACTCCGGTGAGTTTATCGCCCCATCAGATATTCCTATAGCCCGTTGTGTTGTTGCCTTGCAGCAGTTTCCTTCACCAGGCAGTGCAGTTATTTGTGTTCGGATCTCTTTGTTGCTGGGATGTAGGAAGGACGTGTTCTGTCTGGTTTACTGACCCAGCTGACTGCCCAGCGTCACTACTTAAGTAGTGCAATGGTGTGAATCCTCAGTGGTATATCATGTATAGAACAAGGCTGACTCTTTCCCTTGAGCTCTTTTCTCACTCAGTAATCTGCCTTATGACAATCTTGTTCTGGGTAATCTCGGGCCACTCCTGGTCCCATAGTTAGTGTCACATAAAGAGGAAATGGAATCTAAAAATTCATTCTGCTCTTCATTGCGGTTCTCAGGGACTTCTGTACAAGAGCCTGCTCAGTGGATGCCCTGGCTTGCTTGAAACTGTGCCCTACTCACTGGGTAGAACTGGGACTTGGGGGTCCCCGTAGAAGTCTCTCACCTCCCTGCCCCTCTCTTTGCCTCCTGTAGGTGGCTTTGTGTCCCAATTGGAAAGCACCTGCGTGTTGGATGATGATGGGACTCCAGTGGATTTCAGTTTTTGTGTGTCCTTCAACAAGGATTTGCTCACTTGCTGGGATCCCCAGAATGCCACAATGATCCCACAAGATTATGGAACGCTGTTTCCACTGGCTAGTTCTCTCACGGGCTATCTCAACAAAATGGAAAACCTAATGCAGTACTTGTCCAGGGGGCTTCAGGACTGTGCATCCTACACCCAGCCCTTTTGGGGATCGCTGACAAAAAGGATTCGTAAGGAGAGGGGTGCAGAGGGGCATGGTTGGGAGGGGATGGGGGCAAAGCGTATCCCTCAGCAGGCAAGGGACTCTGTATCTGGTTAGAAAAAAAGCAGAAAATGTTTGAGCTGGAGTGTAGAAAGAGGAAGGGATAACTATCAAAGAGAATCAGAGTGGTTGATGGCAGGGAGGGTGTTGAGGACAGGGGGAGAAGGAGTTAAAACAGGGTGAGGAGGATTCAACCAGTAATGAACTATTGGGAAGAGAGTATGTTTTCCACCTTTGCAGGGAATCTCAGGATGATCCAGATTTAAAATATAATAGGAATATGTCAGAATAAGTAAAATTACTTTCCCCCAAATGCTCATGCCTCTTTATCACATATTCTTGATATTCAAGGTATAGGAAGGGCTTAGTTACAGAAATATTTGGAAAAGCTCTCCGGGATTCTGAAACTTGCTCACTTAATCCCTTGCTTGGAGAATACTGTGAGATTGGTAAAAAGAAGACTTGAAGATCTCTCTGGGACAGAGTAATGTATCTTAAAATGTGTTTTTTGCACCACCTGTCTCAGAATTGCTTGGTGGAGGGCAGGTGTTGGTTAAAAATGAGTACCCCTCCTAGTTCATTGAATGAAATTATCTGGGAATGCAAGCTAGGGAATCTGCGTTTTAACACCATTTCTTGGATTTGTAGTTAAGGTTTTGTTTGAAAAACATTGACATCAGGCCAGAGAGATAGTACAGCAGGTAGGGCTCTTACTTGCCTTACACGTGACCAACCTGGCTTTGAACCCTGGCATCCTATATGGTACTCTGAATCCTGCCCAGGAGTTGATCCCTGAGTGCAGAATCAAGAATAAGCCCTGAGCACTGAGGGGCGTGGCCCCCCTAAAGCAAAGTGCAAAGAAAGAAAGAAAGAAAGAAAGGCATCAACATAGATACAACTAGGATGGTTACTTAGAAAAATAAACTAAAAGATGGCAATATTTATAGATACATTAATTTAGACTATACAAATCCAAATTTAGTAGAGCTGTAAGGCTTGTCTTTTCAAACTAAGAAAAAAAGCCTTTATTTAGAAAATTAATTTACTAACTAAGATTTGAAGAATTAAATCTTTTCCTCCTTTTACACATCCCAAATTTATGGCTCTGGACAATCGTTAGCTTATGTTCTTCAAATAAATCTAATGACTTCTGAAACAGCTTGCAGTTCAGGCCAGGCTATTACTTATTGTCATCAAATATTATTTTGAAGGAAATAAAAGAAAAACCACAACAGGGTAAAATTAAAGAACAATTGGATGGATCAGGAATAAATTCTCAGCTCTCATTTTAAATAGGATGCATGATGTAACAGGAGGGGGATGGGCAATGGGTTGACAAAATTGATGATGAGCTAAGTAGCAAAGAAACAAAGTTGGGACAAAAGCCCATGTGTGGCCCTCCTTTGTGACGTATGTTTCCTCCTATGCAGAGTCTCCATCTGTACAAGTAGCCGAAACCACTCCTTTCAACACCAGGGAGCCTGTGATGCTGGCCTGTTACGTGTCAAGCTTCTATCCTGCTGATGTTACCATTACATGGAGAAAGAATGGGGAGGTTGTCCTCCCTCACAACGGTGCCCGTGATGTTGTCTTGCCCAATGGAGACTGGACCTACCAGACTGTCTCCTATTTAGCTACAAATCCCTCTTTTGGGGACACTTACATGTGTGTGGTAGAGCACGCCGGGAGTCCTGAGCTCATCCTGCAGTACTGGAGTAAGTGAATGGCTGGTGGGAAGAATTAGGGTTCAAGCAGAGAAATATTGCAAGTGAGTGGTAGGAAAGGAACACCCAAAGGTTCATGGCATACGTAGAGGGAGAGTCGGAGACGTGGAGAGAGTTTTAAGGAACTCATGAAGGGTTCATGAGCAGAGATGGGGCTTCAGAAAGGGCAGAGGGACTTACGCTCGAGTTGTGCTGTGATATTAATGCTGGGTGGGAGGGCAGCATGGCTGTCCTGAAAAGGAGATGGAGATTTGGTAACTATATCTTCGATACCAACAAACATAATACAGTATCCTAGGATTCTTGGCTATCCTGTTGTCAGATCAGGAATGGGACTTGGAGAAATAGAGAAGTCTGCAGTAGAAAGGGCACGGCAGTGGACTGAATTTGGGCTGCTCTATCAGGAAGGAAGAAGCCAAGGGTGGCACTTGAGTGTATGTGTTTGGGGGTGATAATGAATAGGGAACCAGCCACCATTGTTTGAACCCCACGATAGGAAGTAGTTAAAGGAAATGAGAGAAGTTGCATACAGACATGGGGTTTGGAAAAGAGAAGAGCGAGGCATGGGGAAGGGGGAGGGTGTTTATAGGGGTCCAGGCAGCAGGACTCCAAAATAGCTGCTCGAGGCAGAAGCCATAGTCCAGTGGGTAGAATGCTTTTTCTTGTATGCAGCTAACCTGGGCACCACACATGTTCCCCACACACTATCAGGGGTGATCCCTGAACGCAGAGCCAAGAGTAAGTCCTAAACACTGCAGGTGTGCCACACACACACACACAAAAAAACCCAAATAATAATCTGTTTCAATAACACGGAAGCTCAGCTTGTCTTTATTACCACGAATAAAATGTCTCAGTGTTCTGTGCTATAAAACTTAGATACATTTTAATCATACTCCTTAAGAGAAAAACTTTCCTCCCACCTTCCCCCCCCCTCTTTTTTTGGGTCTTCCTCAGTTGTGCTTGGGTTGCTCCTTGCAGTGCTCAGAGGACCCTGTGGTGGCAGAGCTTGATCCTGGACCTCCTGCATGCCAAGCATGTGCTCAATCCACAGAGCCATCTCTTTGGCCCAGAGAAAAACAAAACAAAACATTTTTTTAAATTGGTGTTGCTTCCTGTGCTTCTTCCATTTCTCCTAATGAACAGGTTTTTAGTGATGTTTCATTCAAAGTGAAATTTCATTAAAGTCACATCGCTATTTCCTGTGAGAACCCAGAATGTATATTGCTTTTTCATAATTAAGTGTTCTTACCTCAAAAAACTAAACAAAACTGAAAAATCCACTCAACCGGAACATCTGCTGGGCCAAGGCCTCTTGCTGCAGGCTGAGATCTGTCTTGGAGCTGCAGAGAAGGGAGGCAGAGCAGAGAATGGAACCCCACAGCCCTGCCCAGCCATCCTGGAAAGTCTCTTTCACAGCAGGCCCAAAGTTTTCGTTGGCGGTGGAATGTTCATATTAGCATGGGAAAGAAGTCTGGGCAGGGCAAGTCAGGTAGAACCAGCTCCAGGGAGTGGGGTCTATGGAGGGGGCTGGACACACTCCTGGGGGCGCCCCATGGAAAATCTAGGTGTGGACAGTGAGGAGACACAGAAGTACTAGGATAACTCAAGGAATGGAAGCACTGGAAGTCAGGAAAGATGAAAAGATATGTTTTGTTTATTTATTTATTTATTTTGGGTCAGAGGGACATCTGGCAGTGCTCAGGGACTACTCCTGACTCTGTGCTCAGGGTGACCCATGGTGAAACTTGGGGGACCATGCAGTACCAGGGAACTGCATGCAAGGCAAGTGCCTTACCCGCTGCAGTTCTCTCCAGCCCCTTGAATAAATTAATTGATCCTTTTGGGGAGTGGGGGAATGGAAAGACATTTTGATAGAGTAAGTAAGGATTTAGACATTGTCACCATACAGAGAGGGGAGCAGGGACTGCTTATTCTATGGTGAGAAGATGTCCTTGGTGCCGAGGGAAAAGAGAAGGTCCCTTTAGAGCCTCCACCACATTGGAGAGCAACCCAAAGCTAGGGTGCTGATTCTGGGAAGAGCCCCCTCCTCCTGGACTTCCCCCCCCCACCCCGGGTTACTCTAGGAGTAGCAATGCATGGGCTGGGGGTTGGCGGAAAGGCCGGTTCCTCAGTAGTGGGTTATTGCAAGCAAAGCTCTCTTTCAGGGCTGGAATCAAACACCTTTGAACCAGCTGGGTGGAGGGTGCAGTAAGTTCTGTTGCTTTGGGAATAGCAACAGAGATTGCTTCTAATCAGTTTCTATTTTTGCAGCCCCGTGGCTGTCCCCGTTAAAGATAGTGAAGCTTAGCGTGTGTGCAGTAACTCTGGTTCTGGGCCTCATCATCTTCTCTGTTGGTTTCCTCGGCTGGCGGAAATCTAACTCCTCTGGTGAGTGACAGCCTGCCTTCCAGTCCTTGCTCCCTCTCCAATCTCTGCTCGTGAAAGGTCCTCCCTCTCATCGCTACCCCGTTTGCTGTACCACCAGTTGCTCTACATCCACAAAGATTGTCCTCTAAGCAGCTATTTTTCTCTTTTAGGCTACACTTATATTTCTTCGTCCAATTATGGAGAAGGTAAGCACTTTCATTGGTCTGTTTGTCCATGGGTCTCTTGGAGACGGGGAGAGTTAGAGAGGTCAGTGATGAGTCTGGTCACTGGGGCTTCATTACTGGGCAGTGCTTTCCCGGGATCTAGCCAAGAATGCTCCTGGTGGGATCCAGAGAGGAAAGAGAAGCGCCCACAGCCTCCTCTTCTGCCCTGGGATATATCTAGAGGGAGGGGGTGGAGATGGGTTCTAATGGGGATTTAGAATTTTCCTTTATTTTTAAAAATTATCGAATATGCCAGACACAGTAACAACAAAGTCTCCAATGGAGATGTTACTGGGCCCGCTCGAGCAAATCGACGATCAATGGGAGGGCCTTTAAAAATTATTATTTTATTTAAAACACCATGATTTACAAAATTGTTCATTATACATTTGTTTTAAGCATTTAGTATTCCAACAGCATCATTGTGACCTTCCTTCCACCGATATCCCATCCCCAGTTTCCCTCCCAATCCCAACCTGCCACCTTTGGCACATACCAAATTTACTTTATATTGCTTATTCCAACAAAACTTTAAGAAATGGCAAATAGTATGGTCATAAAAATAAATCAGTAAGAGCCAATTAGTGACTACTGTATGATTTTGACCTATGTAAATAAGAACGTTAAAATCATTTAATACAATATTTAAATTCCCCATTCTTGTTTACATATCTACATTTTCAACTCTGGAATGGATTTAGAATTTTTCAGCAGAACTGTATTCAGGGCTCTGGACAGTTATAGAGACTCATTATTTTGAAGCTGTATTATCTCCTTTTTATTTCTTCTGCAGATCGCCACATTTCCTAGCGGCTGAACCCCACAGTGCCCAGAGGAGAGCCACTCTTAGGCTGCTGTGTCCACCCCCACAAACACCCTCATACTCCTCTAGTTTTCTTGGATCCTGTGGTTTCTTCATTCAGTTCTTTGGATCCCCCTTCTCCATATAAACCTTAGCCTGGTGGAGGAACTTGTATCTGCAAATGTCCTGAAACCAGTTTGCTGTCCAAGGCTGTATTTCTGGGAAGGCGATGAAGAGGAAGGTCAAAGGCCCTCTTGGAAGCCCACTGTGCACAGAGAGTGGGGGCTCCTGGCAGCCGTCTGGGAGGAATAAACCTGGAGAGAAACATTATTTTCTGGTGCTTTTGTTCTGAGGTCCTGGGAAGAAACTCCAGGCAGAGTTAGGGATGGGCTAGATTCTCTTCTCCTTGAGTGGGGGTGCCTCCCACCAATTTTCTGTCCAGACATGACCACGTGGGGGCCCTTTCCAGATTTATAATTCATACAAAGTTAAACTGAGGGGGGAATTGGAGAAAAAGGGATAACCTGTGCACTTCTGGCTTCAGGGATTTATGAGGATTAAATGGGCTCCTGCTTGCAAATAACTAAGAACATTACTGGCACAAGGCAAATTTACGGCAGCGGCAGCGATGTTAGCTATTAGCAATTACCTGACTTTCTGGGCCAGGCAATGGGCCCAGCCTTTTATATGCGTGACTTCATCTGATCCTCTTTACAACCCTGACAGGAATGTTTAGATGGTCAGGACAAAGGGGCAGAGGTTAACTTCAGTGCTGAGTTAGGGGCAGTTATTTCTTCCACACCCAGAGGGGGGAGGGAGCCGCAGCTCCAGTGCTTAACGTGATCGGAGCACTGGGCAGAGTGTTTTCCGTTTCTTTTTCACTTTTCACATTAACCCCCACCATGAGCAGTTTATTTTCCTTCCATGTCAATGATAAAGTGAGGTTCCCAGACGAGGCATAATTTGTTCAAGTGAAAGAACTGTTTGTCTACCTGGGCCGGGTGTAGGTAGATGGGTTAATTCTGAGGACCTTCTGCGGGTGATAATCCCACACCCCAGAGCCACCCTCCCGTTCCCTCCACCCCAAACTCTAGGGATCTGCTCTGTTGAGGGCCAGATTTCCCAGGGTAGATGATAATGTGGTTTGTTGCCAGTGGAGGGTGACACCTACTGGACACAGGAAACTGGGTTGTGGAGAGGCTTTTCATCACTGGTTACTGACTGCACTGGAAAAGAAAAAGAAACCAGACTGGAAAATGTGTCCTGGAGGGGCTGGAGATCAAGTACAGTGGGCTCAGGGGGTTGGGCTTGCGTGGGGCTGGCCCAGGTTTGATCGCTGGTACTTCATAGGAAGGAAGAAAGCCCTGAGCACTGCAGGGTGTGGCCCAAAAAGAAAAAAAAATTGACCCTGGAAGTGCTCAGAGGGGCAGGACTGCAGAGTCACAAGGTGTGGAGCTGTGTCAGTGTGTGGGTGTCTCTGCAGGAGCAACAAACACTGAGGCTCCTTGGGATCTGCTGAGCTGAAGGGAGGGTCTAGAAGACCGTGTGTGGAGTCTCCTGAGAGCTGCTCTCCCTCGAGGGGGCGGGAGGCAGGGTCACTGGGCCGCAACCCCTGATCCTTACACTGCTTCTCTTTTGGGGTCAAGGTTGGGACGACACTCGACAGTGCTCAGCGACTACTCCTGCTCTGTGCTCAGGGGTCACTCCTGGCAGTGCCAGGGATAGAACTGGGGTTGACCACATGCAAGGTAAGTGCTCTAATGCCGTACCCTCTCTTCAGCCCTGATCCTTCAACTGGTTCTGTGACGATGGGGCCTGGAGTGGGGGTTTCCTGTTCAATAAACTATTTCTGAAGTGAGGACTTAGTGTTTGTCCGATCAATGCATCGATCTCAACCATATGGATGATTTCTCCCAGAAAGCTCCTGTGATCAGGGGATCTCTCCTGAAGGAGTTTACAGAAATAGTCAGTAGGAGGGGAATACTCATGCGTTCAAATTCCCTGAGCAGGAAGGGAAGGGAAGGAGAGAGATGTACCCATGTGATCCTCCAAAGGGAGGCTCAGAACTGGATCTCTATAGGTTTTGTCAGTTTTGTTTCGTTTTAAAAAATTTATATAGCAATTAATTAGCTCATTTATCATGTAAATGAAGCCCACTTCTACTTGACTAGGCGTTTTCTTTAATAACCTGCTGTTGAGAAGCTCATCATGTTGTTTCATTTTCATTTTCCCCTTCCCTGCTCTTGTTTTTGTTTGCCTGACAAAGCAAAATCCTTTTGAAATTCTAGTCCAGTCCGAGGTGGGGCTTTGGGTCTTGTCTATGCCTGGCTGGTTTTGAAAGAGAAACTGCACATCAGAAGAGCATGGGTCTATCATGCAGCAGGAATCAAAGTGACGGACCCGCAGGGAAGGAAGGAGAGAGTCAGCTAGTTGGACTGCCCCTCCCCAGCCCCCCTACACACACACACACACACACACACACACACACACACACACACACACACACACAGCTCCCTCTGGAGATTCCCATAAAGGCCCTTCTTTTTCTTTCTGTCTCTCTCTTCCCTCCCATCCTTCTCTCTCCCTCCCTCCCTCCCTCCCTCCCTCCCTCCCTCCCTCTGCCTCCCTTCATCCCTCCTCTCCCCTCCCCTCCCCTCCTCTCCTCTCCCTCTCTCCCTTCCTTCCTTCCTTCCTTCCTTCCTTCCTTCCTTCCTTCCTTCCTTCCTTCCTTCTTTCCTTCCTTCCTTCCTTCCGTCCTCCCTTCCTCCCTTCCTCCCTTTGCCTCCCCTCCCCTCCCCTCCCCCCTCTTCCCCCCTCCATCCCCCTCCATCCCCCTCCTCCCCCCTCCTCCCTCCCTCCCTCCCTCCCTCCCTCCCTCCCTCCCTCCTTCCTTCCTTCCTCCCTCCCTCCCTCCCTCCCTCCCTCCCTCCCTTCCTTTCTTCCTTCCTTCCTTCCTTCTTTGGACCACACCTGGCAATGCTCTCAGGGCTTACTCATGGCTCTGCACTCAGGAATGGTGCACCGGTGGTACAGATAGTACAGTGCCTTAGCAGCTTATACTATTTCCCAGGGCCCCCAAACTTTCTCTTTCTTAACACTGTAGGCTAATTGTTAGGTGGGGGAACATTGACCCCATTCCAGATAGGGGGGTAGGAAAATGTGCCATGTAGGCTCAGAATGTCTGTGTCATTACAAAGAAGAATGAGTGGTGGTGCTGAGAAGGCAAAAGAGGATTTGGTAGTGGGCCAGTTCCAGGATAGTGTGAGAAGAGTGAATGTGAAACACAATAAAATGCCCAAAGTGGGGTGTGTGTGTGTGTGTGTGTGTGTGTGTGTGTGTGTGTGTGTGTGTGTGTAAGACAGAGAGAGAGAGAGAGAGAGAATATGTAAAGGACTTTGGAGTATATCCAATTGAAGTGGCACAATGAATGAGTGGTTCTCTCCCTTCAACTTTTTGTTTGTTTTAAAAGTTGAACTCGGAGGTAGAATTGAATTCAAGGGCCGTTGAGTCTGACCCTCCACCCACAAAGGAACTGGGCCTGTTTGCCTGAGTCAGTTCGGAGCAGTCAGTTCGGAGAGTCTCTCCAGCCATTGGGGTGGATGCCAATATTTTATTTATTTTTTAACTTTAATTTTTTTATTATTTTAATGAATCACCGTGAGATACAGTTACAGACTTACAAACTTGCATGATTACATTTCAGCCATATAATGTTTGAGTACCCATCCTTCCACTCATGCCCATTCTCCATCACCAATGTTTCCAGTATCCCGCCCACTACCCCCACATCTTTCCCCCTTCCCCACCACGTTCTCCCCCCCCGCCCCCCACCTCTGTGGCAGGCACATTACCTCTTACTCTCCTTCTCGGTGTTATGATACCAATATTTTAGAGAACTGTGTTGGACCCCAAGTTTGAGGTTCCTTTTTCTTTTTCATTTGTTTTCAGTGTGGGGGCCATGTCTGCTGTGCTCAGAGCTTACTCTTGACTCTGTGCTCAGGGATCACTCCTGGTGGTTCTTTGAGCACCATGGGGTGCTGGGGATTGAATCGGGGTTGGTCACATGCAAGGTATGTGCCTGAATCCCTGTACTCTCTCTCTGCCCCTGGACAAGTTTGAGGTTCTTTTATCCACTAAACTTCATAGAAATAAAGCCCAAATATTCAGTGGTAGGATGACCCTGGTGCTTTTCCTGAGGAAGAGCTATCCCTCTGTGCCAGGTTCTTCATCTCCTTTCCCATGAGTGGACTCATGTTCATGCGGAAGGAATGGGCACGCTCTTGTTTTCATTCCACTGAAATTCATTTTAAACTTCTTTTTGAGTGTTTCTGTTTTCAAAGTAAAATTAGCTAAGTCAGATGACAAATGAGGCTGGCATCTAACCTGCCCCCTAATTTTGGTTTGGGTGGGTGTGCCTCTCATTCCCAAGAGCCCTCAAACTAGGGGCTGGAGTGATAGTACAGCAGGTGGGCAGCATGTGGCTGACCCGGGTTCTATTCCCAGCATCCCATATGGTCCCCCAAGCACCACCAGGAGTAATTCCTGAGTGCAGAGCCAGGAGTAACCCCTATGCATCACTGGGTGTGACCCCCACCAAAAAAAAGTCAAAAATAAAAAAAAGAGCCCTCAAGCTACCTTCAGCAGGGGCAGGGGCTCCTTCCTTGCTGCTTGTGCATCTCCTTCCTCAGACAAACTCCCTTTGTTTGCAGAGTTTGGAGAGGTCCCAGAATCCTCCAAAGTGCTCCCTGGGTTCATTTTCTATTCTAGCCCATCGGCTTCCATTTCCACACTGTGTATGAGGTATCCAAGAGTCTCTGGTCAGATAGGTGGGGGATGGAGACATACATGGCTTTTGTTGTAGCACAGCCTCAGCAGAAAACTGACAACACATTCAAAAGAGGCCCGTTCAAAGGCAGTCCGTTTACAAGGAAATATTTCCGAAGAAGTGGGTGAGGGATTGTCCAGTGAGCAGGAGCTAAAGTAGCTGACTATCATTCCCCCTTTGTCCCAGGAGGTGAGGGACTGGAGGAGTCGGAACTCAGCAGGTGAACATGTCCTTTAGAACTGTCACAGCAATGCTCTTCAGTGTGTGTCTGTGGGGGTGGGGGGGTGGGGGGGTGGGGCAGCCTGGCCATGGTAACCTGATGACTTCATAAGAGGCTGTTATGGGAATAGAAACCCTGACTTCACAAGAGAGTTTGGGAGCCCTGACAGCAGGGGGAAGAAGTGGAGATCCGGAAGGGTGGATGGAGGACAGTTGGCGCAGTCACAAGGGCCAGGAGAGAGGTCAAGTTGTTGGTGGGCCGGAGGTGC